ACTGCAGATTTGCTACTTTCCTTGTACTATTCCTGGTTTTGTTTCAGAGGTTCCTGATTCAGCTCCCATATTCTTTTTTAGAAGTGTCTTCCAGCAGCAGGAGCTGAGGTAGCTGTTGCCCCTAGGTTTTGAAACCCAGTGACGTGGGGCTGGTTCAAAAGGCATGAATCATGTTAAGAGTCTGCTGATGCTCGAGACTGAAAGTCTGGGGTACTTTGAAGTTGTCTGGCCTGAACTGAGTCTTCAAAAAGGCAGATGGAGGTTTGCATGTTGGTGCTCTGCTCCTGTCTGGGGTTAGACATAGCAGCAGGAGAAAGGCATCAAGTGTGTTGGGAGCCACAGGTAAGAAAGAGCTGCTGCCTCTCTGGAAGAGCCACTTTTGAAGGAGGGTACTAGAATACAGCACTGAAAGCTTGGAAATACATAATTTGGGAGTAAATGAAGCAGAGACATGCTCTCAGGATTTTTTTTCCTTTAGAAAATTTGAGAATTGGAATTTTCTGCTGTCATCTGGTCAGGCAAACAAGGTAAAACTATCACCAAACCTGAGGTGCCTATTTACTCACAATTGCTGTACAGATGGGGAGCTCAGCTGGTGCTGGGCGCAAGTCCTCACTCTCAGTAGGAAATACACAATGCAGCAGAGGGAACTGGCTAGCTTGGTGCTGCTGGATGGGACCGGCTTTCCAGAAGGAAGGGTGTGCAAGGCACCTGCTGCTGTGCATCCTTTGATCCTCACAAGTAGGACCACTCCTGTTGCTGGAGGTTACAACAGCATGAGATCCAGAGTTGGATTTCATTCTTTATTTCAAGCACGATGTACTTTTCGTATGTAGGCTGCTGAGGATCATTGTCAGGCACATTGCTAGTCTACAGACAAGCTACAGAGGGGCTTGCAGACCTACTTTATTTTTAGTTCCATGAATATGTAATCTAGAGAAGCCTCATGCCTAACTTTTTGCTATACGGGGAAATAATGATCTGGTAGTTTCTGTGTCTAAGGTGTTTGCAGCTTCACTTAACTTATATAGATTGGTCGGTTTAGTAGCCAGTGAGTTCACTGCCATCCACATATTTATGTCTTAATCTGCTTTTTTCAATAAATTTTTAGAAACATAATGTATTGGGAAAAAGCCTTCACTTTTTGCCAGGGTTTGAATTGAGTTTCAGAGTTGTAAGAGGCGTAATTGCCTTGGAGAGGAGGCTACAGAGGGCAGAACAAGGCTTCGATTAGTTTGATGGATTGAGCCAGTGCCCAGCCTTGCTGGTATTGAGTTTAATGCTGCTTGAGGCCAGGAGGTCTCTGAGGGTTGTTAGGGGCTGGTCCACAGGAAGAAGATGCTTTGTTAACAGCAAGGGAACCGTGCACTCAACACTGCTGGCCCGAACAACCCTACATCCCTTCCCTGAAGTTGCTGGGAATGGAGCTGCCACAAATCTATAGTTCCTCTGTTGTGAGCATTTCCCTGTGCAGGGATTTCAGGTGTCAGAAGGGAATACCTTATTGCAGCTCTTGACTCTGTAGAGGTACCATGAAGAGCAGCAATAGTTCTGAAGCAAAACAGGGCTCTTTCCGTGTGGCAGGAGGCTCCTGAATGCAATTCTGTATCAACAGGGAGGCTTTGCTAAAATAACAATTCATATTTCTTGCAAAAAAACCCCAGATTCTGGCTTTCTGTTCCTTGTCTCAGTCCTTCTCTTGCTTATTTCATAATAGCAGATCTGACAAGTCTTTAACTGTCTTGGTTTGTTGCCATATACAGCCTGGGACAGGCACCAGCTTGTTTATTCTTGCAGTGTTTTCCCTGGATGCTGGCATGCTCTTCAGCAAGGAGCAGGATCCTCTGCATACTCTGGTCCCTACCATGCTGAAACAGCTGGAAGGTCCAAAGCACAAATGGAACAGGGAACAGTGGCCTTAAATGCTGTCAAAGCCACACACAGCAATCTGGGCTCTGTCCACCCCACTGCAGAGAAAGCTGTTCTAAGCAAGGAAGGCTACATCTTCCACCTGGCAAACAGTCCTGGGATGGAAATGCTCAATCCCCCATCCCCAACATGTTTGTGTCACAAGTAGGAACTTAAAGGGAATGATGACCTCTCCTCCTCCAAAAAAAAAAAAAAAAAAAAGAACACAGCCATAATACTTCCATTCTTTGGCAGAATGGTTTGTTGGCAGGTGTTACCAGCAAAGCAGGCAGCACTGCCCTGTGAGTCTGATGGACCTGCCTGGCTGGCATGGACAAACTCGGGGATGTTGCAGCATCAGGCTTTGAAACATGAAGCACTGGAGCGTGGCCAAGCTGTTCCTGCTCTGAAAAGAGCCACAATGAACAATTGCTGCTCTTCTGTCTTGTTGGAGAGGTTACATTATGTCAGTGCTGGGGTGGCTGAGGGTGATAGTGATGTGAAGTGCTCTGTGCTGTCTCCACAGCAGCATGGAAATGCTGAGAGGAGGTGCACAATTCTGTCTATGTTTTGGGACAGAAATAGTAAAAGGAAATTAAACTTTGAAGAACTCCATGCATGTCTGATGAAATTTTTTTTCTTCCCAGTAATCTTCCTCCTTTTGCCCAAGCCTGATTGCTTATCCTTGCTTGCCATCTATCATTGCAACTGCTGCACTGCAAGGAGGGTGCCCTCACCTCACAGACCCATTGCCTTGTGGTGAGTGACCCCAGCCAGCAGCAAAGTGCCTTCACAGCCATTCCCTCCTCCTGCCCCAGTGGGAGAGAATGAGACAATCAGATGGGTGCTCTGGAGGGCTGGGGTAAGAGCAGTTTAAGGAATGAAGTAAAGAAGAAGAAAACCCAAGTGATGCAAAGGCCACTCACCATCTCTCCCAAGCAAGCCTGGTGCTCACCAGTCTCAGAGAAATGGCTTCTGTAGAAGTCAAAGCCCCTACTGTCTTCTTCTTTCCAGCTTTTAGTGTTGAGCAATTGCATCACTTGGAATTGCCCAGTTTGGGTCAGCTCTCACCCAAGTACCCTCCCAGTCTCTTCCCCACTCCTAGCCTGCCTGCTGGGGGTCAGTATGGAAACCAGGCTGTGCAGGCACTGTTCACCCAAAGCAAAAACATTGGTGTTCTGCCTACACTGGTTTAGTCACAAATCTAAACCATGTTATCATGTGTGCTGTTATGTAGGAAGTTAACTTCGTCCCACTCCTTAACCCTGCAACACAACATAATGGAAAAGATTTTTTTTTTCCTCTTAGAAAATTCAGGAGACAGAGACCATAGATTTGGTTGTGAGCCTGCAAGGCACAGAAAGCTGCTAGACTGAGTCAGCCTTCAGGAATGGACAGAGCTTACAAAGGCCTAGGGAGGGATGGTCTTTATTTACAGCACTTTTTTTATTCTTCCTCATTCAGCTGGTCTGAATTCCCAAATGTAAATTCTGGGAAATGATGGAAATTACCAGCATGGTTCAAATGTTGCCAAGTTCAGTGCACTTTTTGGATAATACACAAAATGAAAGTATTCTTCTAGGAATAGGTGTTTTCCAACTGTGCAAAAACGTCTGTGCTTGACTCAGAATGTGATTATTCCCTATTTGGAATAAAGGCTCTTCTACCAAGGAAACACACCAGTTTAAACCATTTAAACTGGCTTAAGGATTCTGCTGAGATTAAGCCTAGGGAAGGCTGAGGGTTTGGAGCATTAGGCCAGTGTGCATCTGTGTGTGCAGAGAAGTGACCAACATGTTCAGTTTGGCTCCCTCAGCAAAGAGCTGCCTCCTGGGAAGTGTTCCTGCAGGGAGTTGTGCAGTGTTGGGCTGCATCTCCTAGACACCAGTCCATCACACAACAAGGGCTTTCACCAGAAGATTAGGGAATACACTCAGAGTTAAGAAACTAGTGAAGCGTAAAGAATGGTGTTTCCATCATCCATGCTTTGGAAATTTCTTGTAAGCTTTAGATGAGAGACAGCTAAAGCATCCATGCTGTCTTCTCTGACTGCTACAGTTGGTAGAACACATTTAATCTCTCTTTATCCTGATTCTTCAGTTCCAGAAGTCAGAGAAGCCAGCCTTCGTCACCTGCCCCTTCTCAGTCCTCTACATTTGTCAAGTGCCAGCAGTGCTTTCCTGTGCTCAGCTCCTCCTGAAGTCCCTGACAGCTGAAATCTCCCTCCCAGGCTGATGTTGCTGTGATACAAAAATTGGTTGTGTTTTGGGATTCTTAACACACATGATGCCACCGACAATCCCTGTAATCCACTGTGTTTCACTAACAGATGCCTGGTCCCTGATGTTTTGTTGCTCAGCCTAATGTGCATGTTTCAGTCTGAATTGGGGTAGAGGGAATTTTGCAGTTGGAAATTATGATGTCAGGGGACTGTGTTGGATGCTGTCTGACACTAATTTAATTTTAAATAGCTTACTTTGTTGTTTTATTCCCTATTTTGAGCTAGGCTGAAAGCTTGACACAAAGTGGAATGGACACAAAGGGGAGCATTCAGCAAAGATAACCTTTGGGTTATCGTGCATGGGAGGGGCTGGGGCCGCTCAGGTTGGATGCTCTGTGCCTCAGCAATTACTGCTTAAGTCAAGTTCCAGCCTTGAGCCTGTTCCCTGGAGGATCCTTTCACAGGCTTTGTAGGTAGGCAGGCTCATCTGCACTGAATTCAGCTTTTGTGAATATCTGTGTCCTTGACCCAACAGGAGCTGCAGCAGTGCCATGTCAGGCTTGGAGGGCTGCACACTGTGGGTATGGAAACGGCAGAGGAGGCAACAAAGCAGCACTTCAATTGACAGGAAACCTTTTTTTTTCTTTTCTCCCAAGAATAATTGGATTTATTTGTTAATAGAAATGTGAATGGGAAGGCACATCTTAAATGTACTGGCTAATATTATGTATTCTATATGCCAAAGAGATGATATAATGTAATTTTGCAATTGATTGTAGGACAGCAAGAGAAAAAGCCCTTTAAAAAGGAATCTGTAATAATACAGTTGGAATTAAATTCCTGTTATGAAGTCTACTAAATAATGGCAACCTGATTATCAAAAAAGCTTTATTTCTATAACACTTTTTATATATAGTGTACTACTAAGTAATGATAGTTTTAAAAAGTCATGTTGCTTTCATCAAAGTCTGGCAGTTCCTTTACTCCTTCTGTTTGACATGAAAGAAGAAAAAGCAGGGTCATCCTGACTGGGGGAAGGCTCAGCCTCACCCAGTGCAGCCCTACAGCTGCAGTAGGGTTAATGGCATCAGTAATCGTCGTAGTTGACGCCTGCCCCGTGCCTGAAGGCGTGTGGGTCCCGTGGGCCAATGGGAGCATCTTCATCGTAGTGGTGCTGGTAGTGCCCACCATAGTACTCATTACGAGCACGCCCCAGGTTTGTCCAGTAGGAGAGGTCATCTTCGAATTTCTGCCAGAAAAGCCAGAAAAAAAAAAAAAAAAAAAAAAGAGAGCATTTGTGCATTTGCTTTCCAGTCTGAAAGTACAGTGATGGGATAAAACTGAAGTGGTGCAACAGCCTCTTTCAGAAATCCGGATGCTTTGCACATTTGTCATAAATGAAAGCTTTAGATCTGAGGGGTTTTGTGACTTGTACCTATGGGATCCTGTGTGCAGGAGTTGTCCTGCCCTGGACCCAGCCCCACACCCCCTGCCCACTGCAGAGTGCTTAAACTGAGACCACCTTCATCTGAAATGTGCACTAAGCACCTTTAATATTTCAATTACCTTGTCAATGATGGGCTGTAGAATTATGTCAATATTTTACAGTTAAAAATCTAAAGGTTTAGTTCTCCCTTGCCATGTGCCTTTAGTTGCAACATCCCTGACTGGGGTGCAACAGCCTTTTGCTTTCTGTCTGATCTCTCACCTTGCACAGGTATAAACAGAGGTACAACACAGCCCTCCAGCTAAGGAAATGCAATAAGCACTTCAGTTCTGCTCACAACAGCAGAGGGAAAATAGTGTGCAAGGATATCAAATACTTGCCAAGTCAAAGCCTTTCCAACTGAATGACTCTTTGGAAATATTTTTGGCTGAGATTTGGGGAAAAAAAAAAGTTTTGCGAATATACAATGGATAAGTATGGACCAAGTCCTCTGCTGGAACAAACAGTTATTTCATTGTTAAGTCTGTCTTAATACTCAAGAAAACCTACTAAGTGGATTCATTGTATCCCACAACAGGCCTCATATGTTTTTGAAATGCATACAGGAACTCAGAGGAGAATTCACTTTATCTGCATGGTTTGTCCTTGCTCCTTTTCATATTTTCCCCAGTCTTCAGCTTCCAGTGTATAAAACCACTTTTCTTATTTTTCCTATTTCTATTAGTGAAGGGGGATGTAGCCATGCTGTTGAGAAGTGACTTTTATCCACGTAATATCCAGGAGAATTTACAAAAAACTACCCTTCATTATTTCAGCTCAAGCAAAGGATTATTTTTCTAATTGTTGCAGCTTTGAAAATGAGTGCATTCATCTTCCAAGCAATCCACATAGCATGAAGCTTTAAAATGAACTCCAGCTTCCCCGTGCCAATGCAATCTCATTAAACATATTCATACAGCTGACAGAAGCCAAGAATTCAACATCTATAACTATTTTTACCTCTTATTAAAAGCAGAAATTATTCTACATGTGGGACTGCAAGCAAACACACTTTTTTTGCCCTATTCCAGCATCTATTTAGTACAGCTTTGTGCAGAGTTTGATTCCACTCCAGTGTTTTTATGAATAAAGTGTGTTTTAAAAATGTGTCCTTCTCATTTGAAGGGAGGCTGACTGGATGTTATCCAAAGGTTTTCCTTTCACTTATAGAGTGGAGGCACAGCTGCCAGTGGTCATGATGGTCAGGAGCTGCCCACGCTGTGGAGGCACAAGTGTGCATTGGGTGCATAAAGTCAGTGCCATTCACTGAGAAGGTCCAGTCACAGCCAGCTTGGTGTGGATTTCTCAGCATGTTTAAAAGCTGATCAGGTTGAGGCTGACAGGAAATTACTTTCCTGAAATACGATTGATTGCTTTGAGTCTGGACACCTATTCCACAAAGCAAACTTTGTTCATATGTCCAGTTGCAATTTATTAAGCTTAAGTTTGATAGCAGGCAGGAACTCCATACAAGACCTTAATGTAATTTTTTTCTACTAATAAAATAATGCAAGGATCTCTAACATGTAACAGAGGTTATATTTCTGTGTGACTTTAAAAGAAGAGTTCTGGGCAGGAACACCTTCTACTAGACCAGGTTGCTCAATGCCCCATCAAACCTGGCTTTCAACACTTAGAGGAATGGGACATCAACCACTTCTCTAACAACTTGCTCCAGTGCCTCACCACCCTCACAGTAAATAATTTATTCCCAATATCTAATCTAAATATCTTCTTTTTTTTTTTCATTTAAACCCAATCCCCCTTGTTTTATGCCTGCCTATTCTCCCTCCTTTTCTAAAAGCCCTCTCCATTTCTGTCACCGACCTGCTCATCGAAGCCCAGGTACAGGAACTGCTGGTACCACTGCTGCACGTCGGGCTGGCTCCTGTCCCACAGCTGCCGCCGCTGCCGCCTCAGGCTGCTCAGGAACTCCTTGGCTGCTGCTTCTTTCACTGACACCTCCGGCTTCTCAGCAGCAGCAGCAGCAGGGGCTGAAATTGATCCCCCCCCGCAAAAGGCATGCCAGGAAATTTTTGGTCAGCCTGGAGTGTACTGCTTGGAGCAAGTAAGAAAATGATTCTCACATCATGCCATTACCTTTGTGCTTGCCAGTGCAATGCCTGTAGCAGAACAGCAGTAATAAAGCCAAGAATCACCAGTGTAATAGGATTTCTCTGCTACCCTCATTCTCCTGGATTCTTGTAAAGCATTTCTGAGCTCAAATACAGCAGCTAACTGAGGAATTTAAGTAAAACCACCAAAATTCAATGAGCATATACACTATGCTCTCTTTCTTTCAGGAGAGACCAGGAGACCGACCCTAAGTTCTACAGTTGCAGAAATTGGGTTGAAGAGGAGAGGTGAAGTTAGAATGACTAAGGGAGCTGAAGAAACACTGTCAACATATTAGAGTGAAGGGAGAAACACTTAAAAAATAGATTTTTGAATCTGATGTGTGAAAAAGCAGCATTTACATGAGTACTACTAAATGCCCTATATGCCTGAAAATAAAAGCCCATCAGGTTTTCATAGCAACCTATGTGAGGGATGCACGGAAATGCCCTCAACCTGCCAGACCCAGATGTGCCACCTGGCTTGCTCCATGCCTCAGGATGAGAGGACTAAGAAGCAGGAGAAGAAATAGCCTCAAATCGTGCCACAGAAGGTTTAGATTGGATGTTTGGAAAAAGTCCTTCACTTAAAGAGTGGTCAAGCTTTGGAACAAACTGCCTAGGGAAGTGGTGGGAATTGCCATCCCTGGAAGTGTTCAAAAGACACATGGTTTTTTGGGGACATGGTTTAGTGGTGAGCATGACTCTGCTGGGTAAATGGTTGGACTTTAACTTAGAGATCTCTCTTAATCTAACAGTTCTATGATTCTGTGACTGGACAACTCCTGACCACACACAGAAATGATAATACATGGTATTGATCTGGCTGTGAAACAAGAAGTGTGTAGGAGTAGGAGAAGCCTTGCCTTCAGATGGTTCATTTCAAAGAGGGAGAAGTCAGGAGGGCATGGGTATGCATGGGATTTTTGGAGATGTGAGGGAAGAGACTGGGATAAACAGGGAAGTGAGATGGAGATGTGAAGAAAACCACTGAAGCAGGAGCTGGGCCGGCTCACAGAGGAAGGCAAAGGACTACAGAAAAAAAAGAGATTCTGAAGATAAAAGATAGAAGAGTTGTTGCAGTAAGTAGGAAACAGGCTGTCCTGCAGTGATGAGCTGGGAACTGATAACTCACCATGAGCTTGAACTGGGTGTTATTGCTGGGAGGGACAGCTAAGCAATGTCCCACAAATGAGCCCTCACACAAGGGACACAGCCAGCCAGGGAAGCAGCACTGTGTGCTTGGCCTGCTTGCCTTAGAAACCAACCAGAAAAGGAGAGCAAGGCTGGAATTAAAAAGACTGCATATTCCCTCTATCATCCATTTTGCAACTCTTCCTGATCTAAGCCATGTTGTCTGCATGCCCCAAGAGCCCTCCCTAGGCAGTCCCTCTCCCCAGAGGATCTGAACAAACAAGTGGCCACTGCTGTGGTGCAGGAGGGTCACTCCTATCGTCACACAAACCCTGCAGAATGGTAACACAAGGAACCTACACACAAGGAAAACAGAGGTGGGTGGGATATCTATCTAGTTCTGGCAAGAGGTGTGGAGTGATGCCAGAAAAAATCCCCAGAATAAAATCAGAAAGCCTGGCAGAAGTGGAAGTCCCCTCTGTGGGGGTATAAATTCTTTGCTTCAGCCATTGAGCAGGCTGAGGAGAGGTGGCCAAAACTTCTGGGATGTTTCATTTGCTGTGGTGCTTGTTCCCAGCTGGCATCGTTTCCACCACCTTCCCTCAACCAGAGAGCCATTCCATGCTTCTGACTGCTGGGCCTCTGGCCACCATCTCTCCTGTCAGAGAGCAGTCTTCCAAAAAGGAAGCACACGTGGGGCCAAGAAGAAAAAAGAACAAGTCAAGGCATCACAGACAAGCCAGGTTTGCACATACTCTTCCCTGTGCCTGAGCCAGCAGTATTTCCATGCATTCTTTGGAAAAGTTTGTGACTGCCCCAAATAGATAAATGCCATGTCTGCCATGCATACACTGGAAAAGGTCGGAGCTGTGCTCTGTGCAGAGCAAAGGCAGCGTTCCTGAGGCTGGGAAGCCTGGATTTCAGAGGGAGCTGTGGTTAGCAGAGCCTCCAGCCCAACATCCCAACCTGGCACACAGGCAGGGCTCTGCCCGAGCAGGGGGTTCTGGTGTGGCCCACAGTGAGTGTGGCCCTGTGCTTGTACCTCCTGCTCCATCTGCTCTCCTGGAGCTGGAGCTACAGGGACAGCTCTTCCACAGCTTCGACTGACAGCACTGACTCTGAGGAGAAACAAGGGAAAGCACTTTGCTGTCTCTTTACTTACCTTCTTGTTTCTGAAGCATCAGTTTAAGCTTATTTCCCCTTGAAACATCTAGACAAATAAAAATAAAACACATACATTTACTGAGAAGGGAATAAGAACAACAACAACAACAACAGAAGTTTATTTCTCAAAAACTGCCAGAAGTATTTTTGTCATAGCTCCAGTTCAAGAGGCAAAGCAGAAACTTTCTCTCTTTGCTCCCCTTTCCACACCTGGATGCAATATACACTGCAGGGAAGCTTCTGACACTCCAGCATCTTCTCCCCAGCTCTCTTGGCAAGGGAAATCCTATAATGGTCTTCTTCACCAAGTAAACGATTATATTCTTCATCAGAAAACTGCAGCTGGTGCCAGTACCAGCACCCAGAGCTAAACGATAATTCTGGAAGCCCCTAGTCACTGGGTGAGGGCTGTGCTAACAATCAGAGTGCTCCAAAACTGTGCCTGGCATCCTGCCCCAAAGCACATCGAAGCAGTTATCCTGCTGATCCCCAGACCGGAGCGAAACGGGAGACCGGCAAGCGCTCGGCGGTTCCGAAATGCTTCAGTCGCCGGCAAAGAAGCGCCTTTTTTAAAAGACGCCCGGCTCGCACCAGGCTCGGAGCGTCCCAAGGCGCTCAGCCT